TCTGAAAGGCTGCCTTTGATCAGAGTAGGAAATATCTGGCGTACATGTACTTAAAAGGCGTGGATGTATGTATGTATGTGGGGGGAGCAGTGGTGGGGAGCTGAATGTGTTCTTCAGAAAAGACAGAGTACACAGCAGCGGAAAAGAGACAGGAGCTGGTTTGAGCTTTGATGTCAGGATTCCCGGTATCTAAATTGTCTTCTGAATGTTAATTCTAAAGTGCAAAGGAATCAGTGAAGGAAAAGTCAGGAAATAGTCCAACTTGTCCCAGAATTGATGCACATCATGATTTAAATTATTTGATTATCCCTATAAATTGCAAATGCCAAAACATTACATTCAAATTGACTTATGCAGGAATGGGGGAAATTTATATGATTGTCAAGCCTGATCGATTTTCCCCGCTTATCATTGTGGAATGTAAAAGTCATTAGGATCAAGTGAAGATTCACAGTAATCACAGAAAAAGGCCATCGAGCGAGTGTTTTTACTCCATGTAAACCTAATCTAATCCCACTCTCCTGCTTACTCACCATACAACAACAACAACATCATTTTGCACTTGTAAAGTGGTTTTCATGTGGGGAGAACATTTCAAAGGGCTTTATACTCACAGATTGGGGAGGGAGACAATAGGGGAGGGGGGAGGGAGGGTACAAGGGATGTGGCCAAAGGTGCATTCAGTTTGCCTGAATTGGAGAAAACTAAGGCTCATCGAGTACTTGGTGTCTGACAAGTAATCTGGAGTCATGGGTGGATGTAGAAAGGCAGAGTTGGGTGTCATCTGCGCAAACTTGGACGAGGTCACCATTAGAGAGCGTGGAGATGAGGGAAAGGAGAGGATCGAGGACAGAGCCGTTGGCAACATCAGAGGAGACTCAGCAAAGTCGTCAGGATAAGCGAGGGTGACACCAGGAAAAGTGAAGCTGAGGTGACGAGAGTTTGCCAATGCTATGGCCCAGCTGGAAAATGTGTGCATTGTTGTTACTGTGTGTTGGTTGATCAAAACAAGACGCATCTGTGGTACAGTGATACGAGGCAGGGAGCCAGAGACCAGAATCATGCGGGAAACAAGAACATTAAGTACCACATACTGTATCACCAATTTGCATATTCAGCTGGAATACCCAACAGTAACCATCTATTAGAGCAAAAGGGAAATTTACAAGCTTACGTCCGCAAAATAGCTCAGCTGATATAATGAAGCATTCTAGGAGGGAATGTGGCTGTGACTGATTTAAATATCTCAGGAAAGGTTACACAGTAGTTTGCACAGTGGAGTTCAGTGGATAAACACACTCTGTGGGCCTGGGGGACATATCAGCAAATGTGATTTGTTGATGTGAAATTGATTGCATGTTGGCTCTCGATTAATCTAACAATCATATTCCAGGGTGGGGAGGAGGGAGGGGAATTAGATTTATTTATAACTGCTCAGGGACAAATAAGTCAAATTATCAAATGGAGAATGGTGCTTAGATGATATCGACTGATTCCACGCTTAGAGAACAAGGAAAAGAATAAACTCAGTTGCTTCCTTCCTTTCTGTACCTTACCCTCCCATTGTGTAAACTCGCTGGGAAAGGTAATTATGGGGTGGCGATGTCTGAGTCAATTTGATATATTTTTAAAACATAATTATAATCCTGTTTGGAAAGGTTTAAGAGTTCAATGGATTCCTGCTTTGTAGCTCTGATGACATTCCTGAACATGTACAGTTAGTTGTTACACAAAGTAAAACTGAAGCTAATTCTCTGTAAAGAAAGTGGCACATTTCGACAACAAATAAAAGCTACATGGATAATTCCCCCTTTTCACCATTACCTGTTGTTAGAGAGTCAGCTTGGCTCACTCGGCAGTGCTCTCAGCTCAGAGTCAGGAGGTTGTGGGTTCAAGGATCCCATGTTGACAACTTGAGCGCAGACACTCCAGAGCAACATGGGGGGATGCAGTGGATTGATGGAGGCGCCATCCTTCAGGAGAGACAGTAAACGGAGGTGCTATTTGCCTTTTCAGGCGGATGTCAGGGAAACCACAGCACGACTGTATTAGAAGAGATAGAAATCTCTGCCGGTGGCCATCACATTGATCAATTATCATCCGGCTGCTTGTGGGACGTGAACACTGGCTGCCACATTTCTCCGACAAAAACACAGCCAACAGTAACTGATGTGAAGTGTTATAAGATGTTTTGATATATCGCCGCAACGGTTATTATTATTATTATAATCAGTAAGCTAAAAGATGTTGCAAACAGATTCAACTTGGCCCACGTTGTAGAGGAAAGAGATGGCTATCTTTTTCTTTTCGTTCTGTTTTGGCTCTCCTGAGTGCGTCACGCTGGGTACATTCCCGAGCCTCCCTGACTCACCCACCCAGCCAAACCTTCCAGTTTAAAGCCAAAACACCTACCAAGTGTTCACTTCCCATCAGGGCTGCTTGACACGGCAGCCCTGGCTGATCTTTGCTTGTCCTGCTTTCCAGTCTGGAGAGGCTGCACTGTTCCTAGCCACACCCGAGGATTCAGATCAACTACATCAGCAAAGAACAGTCAGACTCGAGGGATCCCTGTATACAGGGAAAGATTGACAACCAGAAATGTTCAGGCTTGACTCAACATAAGCTAACGAGTCAACTTTTCCAGATCATTAAACACTTAGACCATCAACATAAGGCCAGACACGGACATCAAGGTCCAGGCTTGAGCTCTGTATTATATTCTGGTATTATTTGACAGCTTGTTCATGTTAAAAACCAAACCACACTTTCATAGATAGGAGACATCTCAATCAGATAATTCCCAGCCACAGCAATGAATACTGCACTATGGGTAGTAAGTAGACAGAAGGGCTTTACTGTTTATGACTAAGCTACTATATTAACACAATCTGTGGCTTTCATTGCTTGACAATGGGCCATTAAAAGGTGAGTAATGGGGGAAACTACAGAACAAAGAGATGGCAAAACCTTCCAAGCCCCTGCAGTGCAGCTGAAATAACAAAGCCTTTCAAAAACAAACCAGCCTCCTCTTAGCAAGAATGTAGTTACCTGGTAAAGACTGGGGAAACAAGCTCTGCAGGCGGCATTCCCAGTTTTATAGGGGATTCTGGTATTTATTGGGAACATCAACAGGAGCCCAGCTACTCAACATGGTTGCCAAAGCCTGGATGTGGGGCAGACACGCCTCCTCCCTCGCCTCTTTCAAGGACGGTCTCAAGACTTTCCTCTTTGATTGTGCTTTCGGCACTCTCCCACCCACTCTGTGTATGGAAATATATCCCTGTGTCTGTCCTAAACTTGCTCTCCTTCCTTCACACCCCTGAGCCTGCCAATGTAGAACAGACTTTAGGTTTGACCTCCAAACATTTCCAGGTTAGCGGCTATTTGTCAGAAAGTAGATAGCTGCTCGTTCTATGATGAGTGTGAAGTGTATCAGAAACACAGGCGAGTTTCTGCTGCAGAACATGGAATAAATTAGTCCTGTACTGTACCAGCCCATTGGATAATTTGGGAATGATCTGAAGAAAGACAAGAGAGATGGCTCAAAACCCTCCAAAGGAACCACAGCTGTCGGTTAGCCCTAGATCAGAGGATTTGCAGCAAAGTTGCTTAGAAGCTGGATCCAAAGATTATAAAGTTCCAGAGTTCACGAAACCAGTGTAAATGAACCTCAAGGGCTAGCATTTGTGGGGAAATGGATACCCTATTAGATTGTTGGTTTGCTCTCATCTTCTCATTTCTTTCCAATTGTGGGTTGATTTCAAAGGTTCTGGTGGCCTTCAATAACCTGTCATGTGTTAACTCATAATGATATCCAGGGTCCAAAACTACCCAAAGAAGTTCACAGGAAATTGGAACAGGATAACATGCCCCAAAGTGTGACGTGTGGAGTTCAATAGCGTTTGATTACAAATATACACATTACAGCACCAGTAGATCTCTTTTTGTTCTTTGGTACGTCAACAGCACAAGCCCTACAGCCAGCAAGAACATCACAGTCCCATTGTGAGGGGCTTTGATAAATAAACAGGGAGAAACTATATCCGCTGGTCAGTGAGTCGGTAACTGCAGGGCATAAATTTATGGTTATTGCCAAAGAATAAAAGGTAGAGGTTTAAGGTAATGTTTTTCCACATATATTAGGACACAGGGCACCCAACCTGGAACCATGGTGGTGGCAGAATCCAATTTACCTTTGAGAGGAAATTAAATAAAGCGTTGAAAAGGAGAAATGCAAGTGACTGTGTGTTGGGGGAAAGGGATCTCAATCTAAATGGAGAGCTCTTTCTGAAAGCCAACAAAGACACGATGGGCTGATTGGACTCCTTCTGCGCTGTAAATTTCTACCGTTCTAAGTGGAAGCAGCTTTTATAGCACCACCATTGAAGCACAAATACTGTTATTCAACTACTAGTGACACATCAAACACATCTGCAGTCACCACACTAGACTGAACTTACATGGGATCAACTATCAATTATTTATAAATGTATGCAATGATGGAAATCGCGTGCATCTTCCACGAGCTAAGGTGACTTTACTGTGTTTCCTGTTGTGAATGGCAGAAATAAAAACATCATCCAGGCTTCTTTTTGTAAAAAAATACAGTAAATATTTCCCCTCCCGGTCTCTGTCCCCTCTCCCTCCACCTCTCTGTTTGTCAGTCTCTCTGGTCTGTCTATCCGTCTCTTTGACCATTTCTCTCTCTGGGTCCTTGTTTCCTTCAGTCTGTCTCGTACTGTCTCTCTCTGTCTCTCTTTTCTGTCCCTTACTCTCCAATTCAACTACTACTGACACATCAAACATGGCTTTCGCTCTGTTTGTGTCCCTGACCCTCTCCCCTTCCCCCTCCTCACCCCCACGCTGTCCCTGCTGTCTCTCTACTGTCTGTCCCTTACTGCCTCTGTGTCTCCCCCTCTTTCTCCCCGTACCAGTCTCCCCATCCCCTCTCTCTCTGAACTTTCCCCACTCTCTCTCTCTCTCTCTCTGTGGTGAAGGCGGTGCTGAGTGCCTGACGTCAGTCCCGGTATAAATGGTGCAGTGTGTGGAGCTGCTGAGCTTTGCTGGAGGGGAGGACTGAGCCATCCGTCGCGGGTCTTTCTTCCCCTCAACCAAACAAAGGAAATAATCGCTTATCCGCCCAAACCTCCCCAAACCCGACACAGGTGACCCCTCGCCGCCGCCATGCCATCCAACGGCACCAGCGAGGCTCTGCAGATACAGTTTGGGCTCATCAACTGCGGGAAGAGATATCTGACTGCTGAAGCTTTTGGCTTCAAGATCAACGCCTCAGCGGCGAGTATGAAGAAGAAGCAGATCTGGACCCTGGAGCAGAACAGCGATGAATCCAACGTGGTCTTCTTCAAGAGCCACCTGGGCAGGTACCTGGCCGCCGACAAGGATGGCAACGTGACCTGTGACAGCGAGACCCAGGGCTCAGATTGCAGGTTCCTCATTGTAGCCCACGATGACGGACGGTGGTCCCTACAGTCCGAGCCCCACAAGCGCTACTTCGGGGGAACTGAGGACCGCATCATCTGCTTCGCTCAGACCATCTCCATGGCCGAGAAGTGGAGTGTGCACATCGCCATGCACCCCCAGGCCAACATCTACAGCGTGACCAGGAAGAGGTATGCCCACCTGAGCTCCAAGCTGGACGAGATCGCTGTGGACAGAGACACCCCCTGGGGTGTGGACTCTCTCATTACTCTGGTCTTTCAGGACCAGAAATACAGCGTCCAGACGAGCGACAACCGCTTCCTCCGCAACGATGGGCAGTTGGTGGAGAAGCCGGAGAAGAGCACCAGCTACACCATGGAGTTCAGGTCAGGAATGGTGGCCTTCAGGGACTGTGAGGGCAAGTGTCTGGCTCCCTCCGGCCCCAGTGGCACCATGAAATCCGGCAAGAGCAGCAAGGCTGGCAAGGACGAGCTCTTTGTCTTACACCAGAGCTACCCACAGGTGGTCCTGACGGCGGCCAATGGCCGGAATGTTTCCACCAGACAAGGTAAGGGTTAACCACATCACTATATATTCTATCTGTTGCTTGTACCTGGGTGGGGGGTTTTGGGTGGGGAACGTGGGAGAGAGAGAGAGAGGGAGTAAATATCAAGACATTAAAGGATTAAATCAAAGTCCTTGATATCGAATTGAAATATAAAAATTTTTTTTGCAAAAATGTGATTGTTTATGTTTCTGGTGATGGGGAAAGTGAGAGGAGAAGTCATTCAAAAATTCTTTCTTTTTTTGAAAAAAATGAATTAAGAAATGTGTGTGTGTTCCTGATGATGGAGACGGAGTTCTGGTGCTGAGGTGTACTCCCAATTCCTCACGGTGGGCGGGAGTAGGAGCTGCTTTGTGCAATTGATTTGTAATCCACCCCCCCCCCACACACACACACACTCCCCCCCCCCCCCCCCCACACACACACTCCCCCCACCACACACACCCCCCCCCCCCCACACACACACTCCCCCCACCACACACACACTCCCCACCCCCCCCCCACACACACACTCCCCCCCACACACCTCCCCCCACCACACACACACTCCCCACCCCCCCCCCCCACACACACACACTCCCCCCCCCCCACACACACACACCTCCCCCCCCCCCACACACACACTCCCCCCACCACACACACACTCCCCCCCCCCACACACACACTCCCCCACCACACACACACTCCCCACCCCCCCCCCCACACACACTCCCCCCCCACACACCCCCCACACACACACACCCCACCCCCCCCCCCCACACACACACACTCCCCCCCCCACACACACACACCTCCCCCCCCCACACACTCCCCCCCCCCACACACACACACTCCCCCCACACACACACACACTCCCCCCCCCCCCACACACACACTCCCACCCCCACACACACACACTCCCCCCCCCCCCACACTCTCCCCCCCCCCCACACTCTCCCCCCCCCCCCCTTGTGTTGCTCGGGCAGGGAATGATCTGCTGAGTTTGCTCGAGTTCCCAAAAATCATCCCATCCCTTCCCATTCCCAGCGCCTTGTCATTGCGGTTTAGGAGTCGGCGTTGCCAGTCCAGACTTGGCCAAAGGCGGGGAGTCTGGGATTCAAAGCCTTTGGACTTTTTTTTCGTTGGGAGAGAGAGAATAAACTCCACACCCCTCCCTCCCTCTGTCCCTCCCTCCCTCCCTCCCCTGGTAACGGCTTCGAGTCTGGTTACGGTTGGACCACCGGCGAGGAGAGGGTTAATTAACCCTTCCAGCCGAGCCCTCCCCACTCCGACTCGGTTTTGCTATCAACGAGCAACTGTTCTGAATTATAAAACACACACCGAGAGAGGGAGGAGTAATGTACTCTTTCTCCCCCCACTCCCCCTTTTGAAATGCTGTTAATTATCCTCATTCGTTCGTAGGGACATTTTTAAAAAAAATTCTAATGGCTTTTATTTTACTATCTTCATCATTTGTAGGGAATTTTTTTTTGTTTCAAACCGTGTGCGCGCGCGTGTGTGTGTGTCTGTGTGTCTTCTGGTCGTGGATCTTTTTTTAAAAAAAACCGATTGATTGCTTTCAGGCGATGGGAGGGGATAAAACCCGCATTTGCTTAAAATATATCCCACCCCCCGTTTCCTTGTCCTAAACCTCGGAGCCACTAACCTGACATCAACAGATCACAGCAATGTATTTGCAAATTGGTTCCATTTCAACTCCCCCACACACCCCCCACACTCTCTCCCCCACACACTCTCCCCCCACACTCTCTCCCCCCACACACTCTCCCCCACACTCTCTCCCCCCACACACTCTCCCCCCACACTCTCTCCCCCACACACTCTCCCCCCACACACTCTCCCCCCTCCACACACACACAGCCCCCCCCCACACCCCCCCCCCACACACTCTCCCCCCTCCACACACACACAGCCCCCCCCCCCCCCCCACACACTCTCCCCCACACACTCTCCCCCGACACACTCTCCCCCCACACACTCTCCCCCCACACACTCTCCCCCCACACATTCAAACCCCCCACTCTCCCCCCACACCCCCCCACACACACCCCACACTCACACCCCCCCACTCTCCCCCCACACACTCACACCCCCCCCCCACACACACACCCACACCCCCACACTCTCCCCCACACACTCACACCCCCACCCCCCTCACACACAGCCCCCCCCACACACACCCCACACTCTCCCCCCACACCCGCCCCACACACACACACTCCCCCCACCCCCCCACACACACACACCCCACCCCCCCACACACTCCCCCCACACACTCACACCCCCACACTCTCCCCCGCACCCCCACACTCTCCCCCCACACACACACACTCCCCACCCCCACACACCCCACCCCCCCCCCCACACACACACACTCCCCACCCCCCCACCCCACACACACACCCCCACACACACAAAGCCACGATGCGCTTCTAAGTCAACTACGCGCACGTTTCTTTCCTTTGTGTTTGTGGTTTTTGGCCACAGGAAAGGGGGAAATGGTCACATTTCAAGAATTGGATCTCATTTCACCAACAAACCATCCATCCACCCATCTGTCTCTCTGTCCATCCAGCCTTGTACTTTGTCCTGAATCCTCTCAGGCATTGAGAATTGAATGTGCCTTTCACATATAACAAAGGAAATTTGGGTTTTATATATACATAGAGACAAAAAAAACCCAAAATGTATCACAATCAGAATGGGGTTCAAGCACAATGTGCCTCCTAATGCCTGAACCATGGCAGATGCACGATTCTCTCTCGCTTTCAAAAATCGAGACATTTTTCAAATCCTTTCGTCTTGCAAGTTATTTCGAATGTTGACCACAACCGTGACCGGGCTCCCAGAACCAGATGTGCGCTCGCTGAGCTCTTAAAGGGAAGGGTTTCCTCCCTCTGTGTGTCTCTACCCTTTTGAGCCGACAGAAATTCGATTCCATTGCCAGTGAGCGCCAGCGAGGCATCCTGCAGCTAAGCTAAACCCTCCCCACCTGTGGTGCTGCAGAGAGACCTTGCAGGATGCGGTAAATTTAACCCTTGTTGTATTCTCCAGGAGGCAGTGGTGCGAACAATGCAGGCACAAGTAAGCCAATGCCTAACATGTATAAATTGGGGGCCTCTATTAGGGGTTTTGGGGGGCTGTCAAAGGGTCTTGACGTTTTTCTGTTATCTTTCACGAGGGTCAAGTGCTGGCTGCCATTTAACCAGACCAAAAATATTACCATTTACAGCATCAATTATTTATTGGCGTTCAATTCTGGGCAGTGGCTTCTGAGGTAATTAAGGCACCCACAGTGGTAACTGAAATTAATAACACTGTCTGGAGAGGCTGCTGTAGTAAGTGAAGACCAGTTTCCAGTGTCAATCACAATGTCAAAACTATTTTGCTTTCAGAAACTCCCAAACCTGCTCTGGTTGGGGTGGGGGAGGGGGGAAGGTGATACACCTATTTATCAGAAGGATGATCTTATTCTTAATATAGTGCCTACAATGTCTCAATTCTTTTTAGGCAATTGCTGTTAAGTGTAGTGACTGTTATTTATGAGGAATGATTTTTCCTCTCACCCTTCTTTTCTGCCGCTCATATCGTGTTGTTCCGCCCCACCCAACACATTTCACTTCTTTTCCCCCGTTTTAGAAGGTTGGGTTGTTCAACTGGCTGATATTGAAGTGTGAGCCTTGGCTGTAAATATTGGTTATTTGAGTGAGAAGCTTCTTAAGTGAGAAACATCAACATGTGTCCAGTGTCTTGGCAGGAGTTCTGGGCAGTGAATTGGAGGTGGGGAACCTGGTTCACTCCCCTGACCCAGGGGCTAAGGAAGACACTTAATTATGGCATTGCTCCAGCCTATCTGAGATCTGCTAACTCAACACCAACTGGGATTCAAGCCTGTAACTTGAGATTTTGTAACTAAATGGGAAGGGGATGCAAAAATTCTACATGTGCCAGAATTTCTGAAAAGAAAATCTTTCCATCATAACTAAGTATTCAGGCATAAGTTAGTGGAGCAAAATGGCTGTGTTGTAACACAGCCAGAACTGCTCAACTGCTGCACGTTCAGAGTTGGGTTCAGGCCAAGAGGAGACTTTGGGGGGTGGTTGGGGGTTGAGTTTTTTACCATTAACAAATGCTCTCCTGTACTTGGGAACCAGAGTGAGTTCCTCAGGGATGCAACTAGTCTCTGTTACACAGTGGTAAACCTCATCCACTTTCACCCATGTTTCTGATTGGAGGTTGAGACAGACGACAATACAATACAACGTATTACACTGCCCTATTGTGTTAACTTACTATACTATACCCTCAGTCTGGTTCTCAATAACCAATATAACGGGGTGAATGTTTAGACAAAATCACATATTCTTGCGCAGTGCGTCAAGCGCTTCAGAAATGGAAAGATAATACAGACAGACCTTCTGAAGGAAACACGAATTTGGGAGTTGTGTTCCTGTCAATTACTTTCGTCCAGCAAAGCTGTGAAATCTTCACGGTATGAAGATTTTTCTGTGTTTTGTTCAACCAGGAAATGCCCCATCGTTTCATTTTCTTTGAAGCTTGAAAATCGAAATTGAAAGAATGATAATTTAACTGAATAACTTTCAAGACTTTCCTCTCTGACCGTGCCTTCGATGACCCTCCCACCCCCTTGCCCACCACATCTCTTGATTCCAACCCCCAGTTCGGGTGCAGCCCTTGACTGTCCAGCGCCTTGACCATCATCCCGATGTGAAAGGTGCTAAACGAGTGCAAGTTGTTGTTTGTTAATCTACTAATGAGTCTGTGCCAGAGGATCTTGGATGAGACCAGATTTCTGAACCTGTTTTCACCTGATGTGCTTCACTCGTTTAGAAGGATAGTGATCGGAAATACGAATTCTGTCTCTTCCCCCAACCCCCCCCATCCGCCACCTCCAATCTCAGTGCTGAGGTGCATTGCAATATTGAAGCTCCAGAAACTGTCACCTTGATCTGTTTCTCTCAGTTAATTTGATTGAGTTACAA